TAATATATGCATACAAAGGAGGTTAACAGATCATTGCCTTGCTAATTGTTTAAATAAATGTTGAACTAACATACAAAATATGCTAATTGAAAGTTTTAAAAGCCCAAAAAACACACTTCTAGCTTGCTTACAAATGTGCAAAATGTCACAGATAAATTAACATTTAATATGGTAATTAATATATCCATAAGAGATCAAAGAGTAGTACAAATTAGGCTTTAACTAGTTTATAAATAATTATTTAATAAGCGAAATATTTTTATATATATTAGGGTTTAAAAAACAGTACAAATGAGTAAAGATTACAAGGCTTTTAATTTACTTTGTAAATTCCCATAACAGCTAAGAGGTCTTTACTCCACTCTACAGGGTATTTAGCTAGTCGATCATTTAATGTAAAGCAACCCACAAATGTCCAAATACAATGACGCGAGGGTGTGTGTGTGTGTGTGTGTGTGCGAGCGACACTCATAAAACGTCCTGCTAAAGGACACACACTCCCACATTGAGATGTGACTTGTTAGCCGGACTTTGCCGTAATGAGTTCCCTTGTGGCCTTTTTTATAGAGCCCATCCCAAGAGGGGCGCTGGGGCGTTGGGGGTTGGTAGGCGTGGCAGGCCGTCAAGGTGAAAGCCACTTAAAGCCAAGGGCCAAGGGCTCAACAATTTCCAGTTATCATGTGACAGTAATGAAGTGACAGACAGCAACAAGAAGCTGAGATCCGCCACGATGACAACTCGCTCGGCCACAGGACATTCAATGCAACATTTTCAGAGGGCGGGAGGGAGGTACTTTTCCTCCCACTTACAAAGGGGCGCTGGGCGGGGCGGGGTCTGCGGTTCTCGGACAGCGGCCACATTAATTATTAATTGCAGAATAATTGCAAAATTGTGTTTGGCCAAGTTAATTTATGCAATAAAAGCGCGTCCGCTTTTCATTTTCCCTTTTTGCCCATTCTCTCAGCATTTGTTTTTTTTTCCTTGTTGGGATGGGTTTTCCTTCAGTTTAAAGTCTCGCTTTTCCGCCACTCATTCCAATGTAATTCCTTTGCTCATTTGGAGAGAGCTTGGCGGCCTCTTTTTTTCCGTCTCTGCTGGCTAATGAGCCACTGATGGTCATGACCCGGACGACCCTGTCCCCGGAAAAGAGCAGCGGCAATGGGGGAACTCCACACGTTTTGAGCCACAGCAATTACTTAATCATTTGCCTAACGACCAAAAGGCAGGCAAAGGCAACAACAACACCAGAAATTAGCAAAAATTAAGTGCGAGCTAAAATGAATTTTTGGGGTGGGAGTGGGGGTAAGGCTTTGCAGGACTCTGAACTCTGGACTCTGAAGTTGCGGCCAAATTGTGGTTAAATGTAGTGCGGTTTTTGTAATACTCAAATGAGTGGGCAAAAGTACGTTAAAAGCAGCTGGGAAATATGCAAATGTAGCTCAAAGTTAGACAAGGGAACATCACACAGGCACAGTCTGCAAATCAATCTTAAAGTTACAAATAAGTATTTATTAGCTAAATAAAGATCTTTTAAGTGAGTTAATTATTCAATACACTTTTCGGAACTTCAATTTTTAAATGTTATATAAACTTATTAAACCTAAAAATAGAAGAAATAACGTATAAAATATTTAAATAGAGAAAAGGAAGAAATAAATGATGAAATTATTAAAATCTTAATTTAATAAATATACCTTATCAACAGTATATAAAGTTGTCTCAGGTAAAAGCTTAATTTGAGATACATTCTTACCATTTATCTTCTCAACTGGTCTGTGTGCATTTGTCACGTATTGCGGCTTAGGAAATATTTAAATAAAGATGTAGAAAAACTACGTAAAAATGTTAGTTTTTGCCCCGGGATTGAAATCAGCTTGAAGGAGATGTGAATAAGATTGATTTGATTTATATATAAATATCACAAAAATGTTTTATATATAATTCCGGGAGGTAATTATGAGGAGGTAACGTTATTTACTTACTAACTAACCTTAAGGATAAATATCACAGATATTTTCAGAGGCTTTCGACTGCTTACTTTATACATATGTACCATAAGTACAATATAATAAATATGAATTAAAATCATATATTTCTTTAAGGGATGGTATTTTAAATTGCTTAAAAGATTAGAAAATGGTATCTACCAGCAACCAGCGATCCTTTAGTTTGAGTTTTCTTCATTGATAACGCACATCAATATGTATTTCTCTCTCTAACACACACACACATACTTTGGGCTTCTCCAATTTCCTTCAAGGAGTCCTTATCAAGGCAACTGAGGGAGGGGCGGGGGTTAGGGTTTGGTAAAAATCAACATAAACATTTTTGATATTTCAAATATTTTTCATTTAAAATTCCTTGGCCGAGCAAAAGCCAGAAACAGCAACACGCAGAATTGAGATGCTCTGGGCCTTTATCCCAGGCTTGTTATTATTATTATTCTTCAGTCATCTTAAAGCCAAGTTCCCTGCCTGGCTGTGTGTGTGTGTGTGTGTTGTGGGTGTATCTGCATCTGCATCTGGCCTGTGCAGCTGTGTATCTTATGGATTTCAGCTTGGGCCCAGGCAAGCATATAAATCTATTATCCTTTAATTTAGCCACAGAAATAATGAAGCATGTAAGAGTCTTTTGTGTATCTTTTGTGTGCCACGCCCACACAGATATCTCTCTAACCCCCTCCCCCCACTCCCTACCCCACTCTGCCTACGCCCCTGACACACACATAAATTCAATCAACGGCAATTTGCTGGCAGAGTTGCAAAGGCGTCCGCAAATGTGCAATTTATTTATTGTTACTACCAAGTAAACCAAGGCACTATTCATCCGATGCTACCCAGTAATTTTGGTTTGGTAATATTTTCGGTTACGTGAGTTTATTTATGCTTCATTTTCCCCTAGGATATAGTAGGTTTCCTCTGCTTATATTAAGAGCTGATTTAGTGAGCTAAACTAAGCGAATTATTTCACTAATTACTTGTATTTATTAAGGAATCTGAATGTTAATACCAAACACTGAACTAAAAGTCAAGAACAGAGATTTGATATTAAAAAATATATATTTCGTTTGGGTATGAAAATATCATTAATTTCCAGTTTGCTCAAGTTTATTATTATCAATTAATTATAGCTTATTGATAGAAGTTAGATCTCATACACACACTTCTCCCCAGGGTATTACCTATATATTCTCTATTCCCATTTAGGCCTTTCGTTAGCCTCTTGTTATATTTGCAAATTGAATTCTCGTTTTGCATTTGTGCGATTTTCGGCAATTCGTTAAAATTTTCCCCATCGAGGAGGTTGGCTTGCAACTGCAAACTTGCGTGTGTTTGCTGCCAGGCAAAATGGAAATGCAAATGGGGCAAAAAACGAAGATGGGGTGGGAAAACTCAAAGCCAAGGCGCAAAATTGGTAATACATGTGTGTGTGTGTGCTCCTTGAGGCCAAGGAAAACGTGGCAACATCTGGCCTGGCAGCTGCCTTAATTAGTTAATACGAAAAGCGAATTGCACACGCTTCCCTCTTTGAGAAAATTCGGAAAATGAAGTTGTACCATCGATAACATTCGATATTTCTGCCTGCATTTTATATACATATATATCGACTGTTCCGATTAACTGCAGTCGAGGCTAATCGCATCACTGGGAATTATCCTCCTGGCCTGGCGATTGATTTACGGTTCCGCATGTCCGGTCTGGGGGGAGAAAAAAACGCAAGAAGGTCCTTTTAAGCTGCTGCAATCTTGGGGGATATTCGCAATCAATTCCATTTGATGTCGCATAAGGCGCCTCCCGGGCATGCCACGCCCCCTCAATGGGGCTATGATTTATGCGAGGCAACAGGTGATGGCTCCAAGCGGGGAGGGGAGGGGAGGGAGGAGCTCTGCTCCAACTGGACACGTTTTGCAACCAAAAAGCACTGCAAGAAAAAACAAAAAAAAACAAAAAAAAATCTAAATACATAAATTAAATTTTAATTGGATTTTTGCTTCTATATTTAATATAAAATTTTAAATAAATATTAAATCCTTTTAATAATTATTAATTAAATACACTTTAAAACCTAAATATTCGTTATTCTAATGCTTAAAATATATTACTGAAAATCCAGGAATTTATATATATATGTGAATTTTTTCCCAGTGTTATTCATATGCTTAAAATATACAGATATAAACATTTTCTCCCAGTGATGGCAGCATTCTGGGTGCTGCCGCCACGCCCCCTGCGGGCCGCGGGCATAAACTTTTCGCGCCTCGCCTCGTAAACTGTCCCCCGCTGACGTCACACTTGGCATGCAGGACACTGCTTCCAGGCGAGTCCTGGGCATGTCAGAGCGGGGGATCTGCAGCCGGACCCGTGGTCGGAATCGGAATCGGAATCGGGAGTCGAGAGTTGGGAGTCCGTAGTCCTTAGTTCGGAGCCAGGAGTCGCAGGATTTCCACTGCCAACTGATTAAAATGCGTTGCAGGACCATAAAGACAAAAAAAAAAAGAAATAAGGAGAGAAAGGGAAGGAGGTCCTTCTCGGCAAACTGCGCTGCCAGCGTCGCTGCATTTGCATTTATATTGTTTTGACCCCGGCATTATTATCATTTCTTTTCTACCATTCTCATTCCCAGTCCCAGTCCTGCCACTTGGCGGACACGTACACAGTCCTTTTCTCCACACTGATCCTTGATTATGCCCCCGGCATAAAGCCAACTTTTGCTCGCACTACCAGCGCGAAAAAGTTCATCCTCGCGGTTGTTTTATGGCACTTTCCAAACCCATTCCAAAAACTTTGAGAGACATCTTATAAAGTGACAGAAACTGGCATAGATAAGGAGATTACAACTGAGGCTTAGGAGCGGCAAAATTACAGAATTAATACATAAAAAAATATAAAATATAAAAGATATATATTTGATGCAGCATTGCTTTTTGGTGAAATTTATATTCATAATCATAATATATAGGTGGATTTAGTATAATGATTACAAGTATATATTATATACCTTTACAACCTTTTTATTTGGCTTATGAACGCTTCTGCAATTGATCCAAAAATTGAAGTCCTTGGACTTTGATTCACAATTTCACTGCTCATCAAACAAATGCCAAGTCCCTGATTTCGGGCCAGAAATGTTTGGCCAAAGTTTCCATGCCGACAGCCACCTACACAGTCGCATCCAAAAATGTTGCAGGGACCGCGACCGCAAAAGTGACCCTCCAGGACCGTACCATCGCCACAGACGGTGACGGAGCATCCCTGGGGAATCTTTTTGGCATTAACCAGTCCGCAGTTTCCATTGTTGATGATGAACTTCAGATTGGCCATTGTGGTGCAGCATTCGGCTTCTGAGCCGCCCAAGGAGGTCAACAGGTAGAGGCCTGCCAAGATCAACGGGGTAACCAATAGTACCCTCATGATCGTATCGAAGAAACTGTAGCTAGGGGTCCAAATGTAGTACAATTTATGTACAAAGAAAAAGTCTGGAAAAGTTCGATTATTAATAATCGTGTTTGATTGCGATAAGTATTATCAGCTTAATTTGGAATTATGTCTGGTTACGATCACCTGTTGGCATTTACTGACTGAAAGTGCTTTTTTTGATATAGTCTCGATATGCAGCTTTACGTTATCTATAACCATATAAGTGACCATATAGGGTGAAATTCTATTTTTTTCCGCTCACATTTGTTGTTGTTAAAAGTGACTTGTAGAATCACACAGTAATGATCTGACCACTCCGATCCAACCTTTATACAGAAAATGATGATTAATTAACAGAACTGTGTTATCTTATCTTTGTTTTTTTTTAGAGATGACACAATGTATTTAAATTTACATAGGGTAATGTACTAAGTAAATGTACTAAATAACTAAATACTAAAGTAAATGTATTATGTTACGTAAAAAATGAAATATTTTTATAATAGGGTAATGCCTTTCATTCTGTGTTATTATTTTAAATAACAATTTATTCCCTTTCGAAATTTTCAACTATTTCGGTTATTTACCAAAGGGGGTAAGGTTTCTTTCTTTCCTCGTCTGATTTAATGTTTTGTTCTATAAAATGATATATGTATGTTAATTTTAAATAGAACAGAAAACAAAAATGAAAAAAAAAATCAAACGCAAAAGATTTGTTGCCAGGACATCCATCAAGGAGCAAAGATCGAAGGATCTACAGTTTTTTTTCGTACTGCTCCTAAGGATGCCAAGGCCCGCATCCTTTTTTTTTGCGGTCATAAACAGTGGCCCGCATGACAATAGAGCCCAAACAAGGATAAAGAAAATATATATGTATAAATAGGAAAATATCTGAAAGGAAAATCGAAGGCAAGAAAAAAAGAAAAAGAAAATGCGAAGCGGACGTGGACACTGACTGATTAGAAAAATTTTGTAAGACACAAGAAACTGGCTGGGTATAAAATGAAATGAGAGAAAATGGTCGGGGCGGGGTGGGGTGGAATGAATAAAAAAGAAATTCATCAAATTTCGGGAAGCGACAGGAAGCGGCTTGTCAGCACGCGTACGCAAAAAAAGACGAAAAATACGATATTGCTGAAAACAGTTAGCGAAACAATTTAATGATGAATGATGGTCAATAGCAAATCTTTCACATTGTGCGGCGGCGGCAGCGGAAGGAAGCTGTCCGTCTCCTTCGGGCATGTCCTTCTGGCTGACCAGATCCCAGCTAGACCCAGCATCACCCAAGTCCTGGAACTTATTAAAAATGTGTAAAAAGTGAATGAAATCCGGGGCAAGTCGTCGTCGGGAGCTTGTCAAGCTGCTTGATAAGGATATTCTGGGGTTACTTCCTTTTTATACATTTTTTTTTTTGTTTATTTGTATACATTGACACACGATTTGGCATCTCTGTAATCCCTCAAGGAAGCATGAAAATTAATAGAACAAAGTACTAGGATATTTTTTAATGCTTTATTTAAATGTTCGTTGATGTATAAAATAGGTAATAATTGTTTTTCTCAAATGTTCTAATACTAATTCTAATTTTTTTTTTTTTTTGGTAGCCAGTAAATAAAGCTGGTTTTATTCTTCAGAAAAAACCCCTCTTTAAATATTGGCTGTTATTTTTAATAATATTTAATATATTTCCACTACTTTCTGTTTAAATAAAAGGGTGTAAAAAAATAATAGTTTCCTAAAAAGAATATATATTGTTAAAAAATGCGTGATATATCAAAAGTCTCTTTGTTAATTTTTACCATAATTTAGGAACTAAAAAAGAATCGATTTACCCTTTTGACCGTTTTATGTCTTATATGTTTGGCTGCAAACGCAGAACCTTTTTATTTTTCATTGATTACTAAACTTGTTTTGTTTTAAATTGGGAAAAAATATATTTAGATATATATATTGAAACCTTTTTGAGGCCTAATGAAACTGATAATTATTTGGATTATTATTACCCGGCATATGGGGATTAGGATTAGGATTTGGATTGCTCGGGCGCACCACCCTGGGCTTGTTGATACGATTCATCTTCTTTTTGTAGTGATTCTCCTTCATAATTTTGCCCCAATGGAGATCGGTGTTAATATCCTTGGCCAGACGATGGGCCTCAAAGAGACTCTTCGGCTGATGCATTTTCACCAGCCACTTGAGGACACCCCACAGTCCGGCCACAAAGTTATCCACACACATCTCCTCGACAATCCGACGTCTGGCAATCACATAATCCCCATCCTCATCTCCACGCTCCAGAATACCGATGAGGGCACACCTGATGGTCAGTATTTCGTCAAATAGCTGACACAATGGGTATCCTTTGCCCGAAATGGTGGACAGGTCAGCCATCAGGGTCTCCGTGTGCCTGGGATCAGCAAAGTTAATGATCAGCGTATGCTTAATGTCCTCCCAATTGAGCTTGGTTCCCGCACGGACCAGAGCCAAGTCAGCCTTGCCCCTGATCCGCATACGGATGCCGTTCAGGACATGCGGCGGACACTCGGTCTTCTGGACATGCTTATAGTGATTGATCACCAGATTCTGAACCTCACGGATGAAGCGGGTTAGCCCGAACTTATTGCCATCAAAGGTCGGCAAGATATCCAGGGTATTGGCAATGCCAATATGGGTTATAAGGTCCGAACAGCCACTTGCCTCACCTCCGACCTTAACCAAGGCTTTCTCTTCCATCGGCTGCTCTGCCATGATCTCTAAGCAAGTTTCTGGGGTTTTATAATATAAATATGTATATAAAGTTTATAGTTATAATTTATTGATTTGATTAGATGTTATGGATTTCGAGTTTATTCTTTATATTTGATGCAGTTTTATTATTTAGATTTTGCTATTATAAGCACTTGTTTGTTTTGTTGATTTCTTTTGGTATTGGGTAACTCCTGCCACATTTAAATATTTAAATCCTGAAAGAAAAAGTATTATAATTACCATTCTTGATATCACTTCAAGTATAATTATAAATTTATTATAGTTTTTTCTTTAAATCAAATTCAGCATTTGTTTTCACTTTGCTTTGCTTCTTTTCCAGTTCTTTAATTCGTTTTCACTTTTCTTTTCCTTTTTTTCTAGTTTTTTAATTAGTTTCCTTCACCGTTTAACTCACTTTTTTTATGACTCTTAATTTTACTATTTTTTTTTATTAGAACTAAGATTTCTTTCTTAAATTTTGTATAAATATCTTAAGAAAAAGAGTTGCTAGTCACCGGCTTGCTCAATCTCAAGTGAAGCTTGCTCTGCATCAAAAAAGAATATATCCAAGTCCCGACTTCTACTCATATATATAGAGAGAGGGAACCTATGTACCTATATGGAAGAGTATATAGCCCAACCATGTAAACATTTTGCCTTGCTTTTTTATACCCTCTCCGTTACTAGTCTCTCAGTTTCGAAGCTAACTCAATGAAACTTTTAAGTTGGTCTTCTATATTCTCTCACTTGTATATATATTTCGATACTGGACGACTATATCATATAGCTGTCATAGGTATGATCGGAAAATGTTTCCAAAAGTAATTATAACTTTTTTAGTTTTCAACAGATTTTCATTAAATTTAACGTATATCCATTCTATATATTATATATATGTGTTAAATTTGATAAAAATAAGACTACTATATCATATAGCTGCCATACAAATGATCGTTAAAAATAGAGGAAAATGAAAAACTGGGAATGTAAAACTGTAAATATAAAAAGTATGCATAGGTGAATGAAATGAAAGCAGGCATTGTTTGTATATATATATATATATATATATAGAATCTATATTGCATTTATTCCTAGTGATTTAATTTTAAACTGCAAGGGTATGCAATCTTCGGCGTGCCGAAGTTAGTTTCCTTTCTTGTTTTTTCGCTGATGTAGCGAGTGGTCTGAAGTGTGGGTTATATCCAAGAGAGAAAAAGAGAGACTTCTATATACTTCTGTATATATACTTGAGGAAGGGCCGCTCTTGGAAATTCGAGGAGGCTCGATCTCTGGCCACCAAACTGCCTGGAAACAAAAAAAAATATATATATATATGTATTTGGAAATAAACACTTGAGCTGGGACCATTAATATTTTCTTGGACTGAGGCGCTATAAAAATTAGGCATAAACAAAGTCAAACTCTTGAGTTTTAATCAAAATCGATCATTTAAGATGTGTCTTTAAGCCATTTACTATTTACTACAATTTCAGACAACTTAGTTGTTATTTATTATATTTATTTAAGAATCTTTGTGGAAGAAATGAGGCAATTATGGGACCTTGAGATACTTTTATATAAGCAGGAATAAATACGAAACACTTCTGACAAATATTTTAAATAAATTACAAAAATTAAATTTTTTAAATTAAATATGTGTTCACTTTATTATTTTTTTTAATAAATTTAATAACATTTAAAACTAATAAATATAAATATTTCTTGATTTATATTACTAAATAAAAAAAACAACATACTTGTAGTGTAATTTTGTCCGGTTTCTCCTTTTGCCCATCAAGTTCAAAGTTTTAAAGTTAGGAATATTTTATTTTGGACAAAAATAATATTACAAAGGTTTAGAAACAATAATGTGGAAATTGTTGTTAAAAATATTAATGTGTATATATTTTTAAGGGAATTTCTTTTGTGCCTTGAAAAACACATAAACATTAATGGTTTTAGCAACAATTTCCGCACTTTCGCTTATACTAAAATCAAACAGTTTTCCAGTAGGTAAAGCATCAAATTTTCTATATTTGAAGGACACACCACAATTGCTTGTCTAATCCCATTTACAAAATATTTATGTACCTAAAGAAAAAAAAGCCACACATCCTGGCAGAATCTGCGGGATCCAGCCTGGAGCTAGGATCTGGGAAATCGGTGGAGCAATCATTATGCGAGACCGAGACTTAAAAGGGCATTTATCACATTGACAAACTCTCTCTCTCTGTTTGGAGCTCCTC